CTCCCCCGCCTGCCGCTGTTTCGTGGACGGAGCAGTGCGCTCCTGTCTCACGTGGCGCTGGCCGAGCTCCCGGCTCTGCGGGGCCTCCAGGGCTCCTCGGTGCCGCCTTCTCAGGGAGACCTCTAGCCACCCCGACTTGAGCTCCCAGCCCGCCCTCCCTCACAGGGCCGGGTTTGACTCGCCCGCGTAGCGCGCGTTTCGCTGGCGGTGGGCTCTGAGGGCATTTCCCCGTTTTGCTCACCGCCTAGACCTGCGCTGGCACACTCGGGCACGTGACAGGTACCGGGTGAGCGAGCTGGCACACTCGGGCACGTGACAGGTACCGGGTTAGTGAGCAGCGGCAGATGCGGTTGGGTCCCTGGAGAAGTCACTCGTGCACCAAGCATTTACGGGGTGCGCCCTGTGTTTTAGAGTCTGCGCTGAGGCCAAGGCACTGTTTTAAAGTCTAACATCAGAAATAGCTCCTCTGCACCTGAAGGTAGTCAAACGGAGTGTGAGTTTATGACACATAAAGACACGTAATTCCTGTTGCAGCCGGCAGACAGTGTGCATTTCGATTCTGAGCTAATGAATTTTACTTGCAGCTTTATTGTTATGGATTAAGCCTGTGTGCTCCTTACGTAGGCAAGGCCTTCACGCCCAGTTTGTGGCCCCCCGCTTTGACCCCTCTTTTCACTCTTTACTCTTAGCAAACCATCGAGGATAAAAGGGGTATATCTGGGTACAGCTACACCCAGGAAGAGCTGGAGAGGGTGTCCGCGCTGAAGAGCGAGGTTGACGACGCGAAGGGGCGCACGCTGGACGACATGTCGGAAATGGTGAGCTTCCGCCCCCGCGGCTTCCTTCCTGTTGGTTGGAAGGCAGGTGTTTTTATGTTTGTCCGGTTTTCAGTGAAACACTCTCATTTTCATTTCTGCGTGTTGTTCTGCTTTTTCATCTGTCTTTCTCAATCTCTCTTGAATTTTTGCAGCCTAGTAAGGTTGTTGAACGTGTAATAATTTATGCATTTTGTGGCTTTTGAAGTGTGTAAAAGGTATGCAACATTAAGGACATATTTAAGATAAAAAATTTGTGTACGTCCTTAGTATCTTTCCATATTCAGGGCCGCAGCGGGGCCAGCGTGTGCCGACACAGCGTCGGGGCGTTGACCGCCTGCCTGCCTGCCTGCCTCGAGGGCGCGTAGCTGCTGCCCGGGTTC